GAAAATGTTGACGTCTTCGGCTGCTGAAGCGCATTTGTTTTGTATGCTGGCAATCGCGTCCATATAGTTCCCGGACTCAACGGAACGTGGCCCTCCCAACCTACGCGATTTGAGTGACCGCCTCAACGCACCATGTTGGAGGGGGTGGGCAGGTTAAAGCGGTCTACCATGATGGGGAGTTTGCATTGATGTCAAAGCTTGTTCCCAGGCGCTAGTTGTGTTGGTTTCTTGTTGTTTGTGTTGTTGTGTGATTTTCCCGCTTTGGGGTTAGTCACGAATTATGTAAAGGGGAGACGAGTTGAACAAACAAGTGTCCTCGGCAGGAAACAGAGCAAACAAAGTTGGGGAATCTAATACCGTGGGGCTTGGACGGTGAGGGTTGCTGGAATGTGTAAAGTTTGTAGTAAAACAGAGGTCAGTTTCCCTCAAAATGCTGTTTTGACAATGATACAGCAAGGCCTCCCAAAAACAGCAATCTTTGCCAGGCCTGAAACCACGGCGAGCTTTGCGCCGACATCCGTAGGGTCGAATAGGAGCCTGCGCACAATAGACTTGTGTGGCCGCACTGCGGCTCCAATCAAGCACCCCTGACCAAGTTATATTCACTTCAGATAGATCAGGAAGACATACTCCAGCAACTGCTTTTTGCACAGTACTTGGGATTCTGCACATGGGGAAAAATCCTTTTTTTGGGGGGTGCTGGCCATAATCAAAGGCCCCGTAAACTAAATATGGCCAGTAACAGGCGGTGTTTCCCACGCCTGATTAATTATCCCGAAAGAATTCTTAATTTGACATGGACATCACAAAACATAAGCAGCATTGATTGCCCGGTAGCTTCTTACTGGCCCGGTGTTCTTAGAAAAAGGACACCGCAAGCACAACAGAAAAAGAAACGAAGGGTGTGTTGTGGTGGAGTCATCTGAACAGCTGCGTCCACCTTTGGACGGAAGCAGCGAAGAGTCGGCGAGTACTTCGACCTCCTTCTCGTCACAGTGGATTCGTTCGTCTGCAACCCTTGTCTGGGTATCCTTCCAGTGAGCAACAGCATGAAAATGAAGGCATGCTGCGTGCTCCTCCCAAAGGCTGATATCATGTACCGCTTAAATTGTAGCCGTGTGAGCATACCCAATTGGAAGCCGCACTCTAACCCAAGTTTTGCCACCATGCCAGCTTCGAATACAATCACTGGGTAAATATACGGCTCGGCACAATTTGTAATCAAGGTAAGGCTGTGTTGCACCACTGGGCATACAAGCCGAGATCAACGCCCATCGGCTCAAGTCTAGTAGCCATGCAGGGGCATGGGAACGTTCACCCAAATCAACTCGTTAGTCTAAAGGGGCAGATCGTTGTTTTCCTCTAAACCAACCAGTTGCATACAGGGATGACGTCCTTGTCGTAAACAAAAAGACCCCTCGATTGAGCGGCCAAAGGCACCTCGGTCAAGCTAGCCGAAACGTGCTCCACTGGCCAGTGCTGCAACCCCCATCATTTCCCAAATTAGAACCCAAGAGGCTTAGCGCCAATCCCTTTGAGCAAAAGAGGGCTTCAAACGGAATCCAAGACCTGGCCGCATTCCCGAGCTCAGAATATCTTCATGGCGCTATCTGGATTTAAGCCCCCTACACGGCTGTTTGCTGCACGGCTTTTTCAGGACTTCCAACAACCGATTGTCCAGGCTGGGCCGATTCAATAAACACCTGGAGACTGCGCTTCAGTCATCGTGCAAGCTGAAACCAAAATGTCAGGCCACAGCCGCGAAAACTAACGCCTGCCGCCCAACCGCGAGCGTGGCCAACGCGCGTTTGTCACGCGTTCCGACTCCCAGTTGCCGAGTGACCGAGATAGGAAAGGGAGACTCTGTTTGAGGTTGACAATCGGCTGGAACCCACTGAGCAACTCAAATCAGCAAGTCCAAATCCGAGGAATTTTGTTGGAAGGTACTTTGGACCCAAGCTGGGGATGGACAACGGGGCACCTTGAGCTCCGTGCCAGCTGGGGCCCCGCCTTTTGTCAGAGGACCGAACTTCTGGCTGGTGTGCGACCCAAGTGGCAAATCATCTTGCAGGGCTCCCCCATTTTCGGGGTTCCAAAGGGCAAAACTAAAAGAACACCAAGAACTGTTCGTGCCGGAGCTGTGACCAACCTATCTTTTCAGGTCGGGCAGGCCCGATTCCAGCCTCGGAAAATCTCGATGTCCCCCTCCCCGAAATACACCTGCGCGGACAGTCGAGTGAAGCCATGCTGGCTCTACTCAAACTGGATTGGCGGTGCCAGTTACAGGGGGAGCTGTGGCTGAAGGACAAAGCAAGGAAGGGCTAAGCAATTCGTTTGTCAATTGCGCAAATATTCTGTAGAATGCGGGCTCCGGCATTCTTTGTTTTCAGTACATATGTTGAGTTCACATTCTCGGCGCCCTCGCTTTTTTTTGTTTGGATTCACTTGGGCCGGAAACAGGGCTCGCTCGAGGCCTCGTGTTTTGGATTCCCGCCTGGGGTTCTCTTGGACTCCCGCCTCAGGCGAGAACCCAAAACCGCAAAGCACCAGACCCTCGAACAAAGCCCTCTTTCCGGCGCAGGGCGTGAATCCAAACAAAAAACCACTAGGGCCCCATGAATGCGAGCTCAAAATGTGTAACATTCAAAACACAAAGCAGAGCCGTATGGAACCGGTGCGTTTCTTGCTTGGAAGCATTGACTCTAAAATGACCAGATCCAAAGTAGCTGCGAATTAGAAGCATTTCCGACTACATGCCGAATCTTTTTTTTCTGGCACGAAGCTTGCAAACAGCAGCGTTCAAGGTTGAATTACCCGGGTGAATACATCTGCCAAGGCATGACAATACTACTTCGTTTTCATAGTTCCAAGGGTTGCCATTCCAGATACTCTATTCAACACAGCCAGCCAGAAACCGCCATGCCACACTTGGTTTAAGCAATCAAGGCTTGACAATCTCACAAAACACACACTAGTTAATCACAAATGATGTCACCCTCCAGCACTAGACACACTGGGATATCAAACCATGCAATTTTCAATGTTGGTTTGCTTTGGCAGTTCGTGAAAACGGCCGACTGTTTCTTGGAAACTGGGTGTGAAACACACAGACACGCAGCTTGAGAAATTTGAAAAGGGGGAACAACGCTCTCGGCGCTGCAAAGCTTCCTTCGCCCACAGAACAACCTTTGGCAAAGCCATGAACGCGCATTAAAGCAAGAAAAACACGAGGCTTCGAGAAGTGGCTTCGCCGTGTCGATTTTGCAGGGCTACACAAAAAGCTTCGCGGGGCTTTTTCTGCACACAATGTATCACACAAGCGCCTTCGAGCACCTGTTGGGAGTTCCTCCCGCAGCAAGAGTCCTTCATCTGAAAAGAACGCTGCTCAATTGAATATCTATAAGCCAAACCAAACCAAGCTGCTTCCTAGTAGTGCCCTGTTCACTCCCAAATCAACCTCGACTGCGCCAACTCTGCTTGCTCAGGGACTGCCAGAAACCCTGTTGAATTTGAGCGGGCCAGCTGGATCCGACGGAAAGTCAGCCAAAATCCGTGAGCCTTGTCCGAGAAGACAGCCTGGATGACCTCGCGCGCCTCAGAAACAAAAAAAAATACAAGGCCCGTGTGTGTGTGTGTAAAGCAAGGTTAAGGGGTCTGACTTTGCGTGGTGTTTTCCGGAAAGGGGCACAAGATTCATTGCAAGGGGTTGGTATACTAGGAATCACCATTAGCTAATTTCAATGGAGTACTAGCTGCTGTCCTATCCTCAAACTCAAATAACAAAATCCCGAAGCTGAAACATTTCAATCTGAAAACCATCACTTCCGGAATGATGGTAGCTCTTGAAAATTAGGCATCGCTGATATTTGAAAGAGCTTGGTCGCCTACACGTTCTGCACTGTCTAAGCAGTTTCTTTCAGCACTGTCATGGTATGCATACGGGTGCCGTGCAAGCCAAGCAAGCACTTGCTCAGTCGTACCACTCAACCACACTCCAAACTGACTCTGGGGGTCTCAAAAGACTGCATGCAACCCGGAAAGAGACTCACCCAAAGGTTGTAGACGCATTTGAGGTTCCATGTTTTCTGTTCAACAAAAACAAAAAAGCCGCAGGAACCCTTACTTGCACCTAAAATATTGCCACATATTTCGACCCAATTGCAGCCCAGTCGCGGCAACGCCAGTGTTCGCCTGAACGCTGCGAAGCGGCGCAAAAAGCACAGTTAAGCAGGCTTGGACTACTGTCAAGCAAACCACATACAAGGCATATAGGTGCTTCCAACAAGCAAAGGACTAAGGACCCTTGAAATGTATGAACCGTTTGAGATTTCCTTCACCATCTGAGGGAACCAAAGTTTACGCTAAGTTTGCGTCACTGAGATCACCTTTGCGTAAAGGCAAACCTGTCAGTCCTAAGCCTTGGAGCGTTGGTGGTTCCAGTGCCGCTCTGGAAGGACGTGTTGCTTTTCGTCCCAGCACTGCTCAAAATACTATGTCTCGAGCTGACACGTCTCAGGGCTTGGGCGGAGCGCGTCTCACATATCTGGACATGTATGTGTATATATATATATATATATACCCTATGCTTCCAAAGCCTATTAAACAAAATAGTCGTTGTGACAACCCCGGTTTTTTTGATAAAGTCTATTTTTTGATGACGAGCGGCAGCCTCCGTTTTGGACTGGAACAAGGGCTAGGAAAGACTTGATGCTAAGGCCGCCTCATAGGATCCCAAAGCCGAATATTATTTTCATATGCAGCAATATGTGTTACAATCTTCAAGGCTAATGTTGGCTTCGATGTTGCTTGGTTTCTTAGCATGGCCATGTAGCGCGTGAGGGTGAACCCTCTTCTGACCGTTTCTGCCCTTCTTTTGCCCCACCGGTTTGTCTACGCTCATATCGTTTTGGAGCTGTGTGAAAATTGGAGCGGAAAAAACAAGCACACAATTGCTTGTTGTTTGCGCCACCTGTGCAAATTGCAGAGGAAAATTCTAGATTTTGCTAGAATCAAGGCTCCGTCTACGCAAGACTTTCAGCAGGTGCATTGCGCAAACACGAAAGGGCCCCGAGGACCCTATCAATAAATAGTAACCTACTGGCTCCCAAGGCTTCTTAAGAGGTTGCAATAGCAGGCGTAATTTTCGATAAACACAAAGTAACAACCCAAAATGGACCCCAAAGGCCAATGTCAAAAAATAGGGGTTGTCAATGCAAAAATAGGGGTTGAACAACCCCTATTTAAAAAATAGTCGAGGAAGCATAGGGTATATATGGGTGTTTCTTGTTTTGACTGTACACTTTTGAGTGTGGTTTTAAGGGAAACCTATAGGAAACCCCCGTTTGGGGGATCCCTTAAAGAAAGGATAAATCTCTGGTTGCGATCGAATCATCACGAAGGCACGAGTCATGTCCAGGGAGCTAAACAGTCTGGATAATCCATCCTTCTCATCCATCCTCGGTTTGGTCTTAGCGCGAAACTCAAAGAATATGCTCCATGGGGGGGAGAAATGAGCTCACCCATGATGAAGGCCTCTTGGGGATCCCTTCATGTTCATTTCTGCGCCCATCGCATTGCAGCTACCGGTATGGTAGGCAACCAAGCATGTTCCTTTCGGTTGTTAAAGGGTGGTTCCCTTGTTTATCTGTTGAACAAATACATGGAATCAGACCTCTATCGCTTGCTTCCTTGATTCAGGTAAACATTCCACAGTACTGCGTGCAAACAAACAAATAACAAACAAACAAACAAACAAACAAACAAAAAAACAAAAACAAAAAAACAAAAACAAACAAAACAAACAAACAAACAAACAAACAAAACAAACAAAACAAACAAAACAAACAAAACAAACAAACAAACAAACACACACACACACACACATATGAATAGACCCCCGCAACTGCGGGGGCCACCCACATTCTCGGGGAGCACTATGATAGATACTTGCAGGGATCCAACATAATTTTGCACGTTTCTGTGGTGGTCATCATGTTGGACAAAGAGGGGGCAGGGGGGGTTGGGGGGGGAGGGCCCTGCAGTGTACAAACAAGACCTTCCGCCCCCCCCCCCCCCTCACCCATCGGGTGTACATTATTCAGGGTGTACTGTTGATAGTGTTGAGCCAAACCTGAAGTCCGTACATGTCCATCTCCCCCCGGCCCCAACACTCTTTCCTCTGGACCCCCTAGCGCATCTGGGAAATGTACAGCCAAAAGTCGCGTGCATTTGCGTGCCCCTGCCCCTCCGTACATTCAGGAACAGGGGTGATTGAATACGCACATAGATAAACCAAGATCATGAATTATAAGAAAGAAAGAAATCATGAATGAACACATGCAATTAATCATATATATATATATAACCATATATATACATATATATATATATATACATATATATGTTAATATATATATATATATGTATTAATATATAGTGCATGCATACACTATCCCGCGTCCCTTGTGGCCCTGGCCATCCCGCAGCGCGAGCAGCCGTCCGCCGCGGGCTGCCACGTGGCGGTGTAGCCCTGCGTCCTTGGATCGATCGTTCTGTCGGGGAGCCGGGGCCGTTTTCGAGTCGACTTGAATCGGAGTCGACTTGCTTTGACTTACTTGGCCATAACCCAAGTCGGTTAGCCCGTGAACATTTTTCAATCTCCACTAGAAAACGGGTGGTGAGTGGTATCCCGTGGTTTCCCACCAGCCACCTAGCTGGCTTCAATGGCGAATGAGGAATGGAAGGACCCCGAGAAAAAATCCGCCGACCCCTTTCTCCAAAGGGGAGGCGCATGGGAAGGGCTTGTATTCGTCCTTGTCTTCGTGATGTTTATCAGCACCACTGATGTTGGGTGATGGGTTCGCAGCATCCAAATCATCAGCATTCTACGTTTCAAGCTTGCCGTTCAACCCGGCTTGGAATGCAGTGATGCATTTTAGTCATGATTGTCATCAGGATATCATCACGGTAACTGCTGGTGATGCTGGAGATGCGTAGTGATGATCATCAGGATCATCATGATCATCATGAGCGACGCTGCATCTGATCATCATCATCACTCTTCTCATCATCATGATGGTCATCATCATCTCTTTCTGGTTCTTATATGCATTTCAAAAGTAACGTTAGATAGCATTGGCAATGCAGAGGATGCTACGATGATAGTCCTCATCCTTATCATCATTATCATCATGGTCATCATCATCATCTCTTACTAGCCGTCCTCATCCTCATCATCATTATCATCACGGTCATCATCATCTCTTATTAGCCGGCACTGGTGATGCCGAGGATGCTACGATGATAGTTATCATCACAGTCCTCATCCTTATCATCATCATCATCACGGCCATCATCATCTCTCATTATCCGGCACTGGCGATGCCGAGGATGCTACGATGATAGTTATCATCACAGTCATCATTATCATCACGGTCATCATCATCTCTTATTATGCAGCACTGGTGATGCAAAGGATGCTACGATGATAGTTATCATCACACTATCATGCTGATGGTCGTCAAAGTAACGTTAGACAGCATTGGCAATGCAAAGGATGCTACGATGATAGTTTTCATCACAGGCCTCATCCTTGTCATCATTGTCATCACGGTCATCATCATCTCTTATTAGGCAGCACTCGTGATGCAAAGGATGCTACGATGATAGTTATCATCACGGTCATCATCATGCATTGGCAATGCAGAGGATGCTACGATGATAATTATCATCACAGTCCTCAGCCTTATTGTTATTATCATCACTGGTGATGCAAAGGATGCTACGATGATAGTTATCATCACAGTCATCATCACGATCTTCCTCATCATCATCATGATGATGAACGTCATCAGCATCATCATCACTCTTTTCATCATCATCCTGCTGGTCATCATCATCTCTGTTATTGTTCTTATATGCATTTCAAAAGTAACGTTAGACAGCATTGGCAACGCAGAGGATGCTACGATGATAATTATCATCACAGTCCTCATCCTTGTCATCATTATCATCACGGTCATCATCATCTCTCATTAGGGAGCACTGGTGATGCAAAGGATGCTACGATGATAGTTATCACAGTCATCATCAGGTTCTTCCTCATCATCATCAGGATGATGGTCGTCATCATCATCATCATCACTCTTCTCATCATGGTCATCATCATCTCTTTCTTGTTCTTATATGCATTTCAAAAGTAACGTTAGACAGCATTGGCAATGCAGAGGATGCTACGATGATAATTATCATCACAGTCCTCATCCTTGTCATCATTATCATCACGGTCATCATCATCTCTCATTAGGGAGCACTGGTGATGCAAAGGATGCTACGATGATAGTTATCATCACAGTCATCATCAGGATCTTCCTCATCATCATCAGGATGATGGTCGTCATCATCATCATCATCACTCTTCTCATCACCATCCTGATGGTCATCATCATCTCTTTCTTGTTCTTATATGCATTTCAAAAGTAACGTTAGACAGCATTGGCAATGCAGAGGAAGCTACGATGATAATTATCATCACAGTCATCATGGTCATCATCATCTCTCATTAGCCGGCACTGGTGATGCCGAGGATGCTACGATGATAGTTATCATCACAGTCCTCATCCTTATCATCATTGTCATCACGGTCATCATCATCTCTCATTCGGGAGCACTGGTGATGTAAAGGATGCTGCGATGATAGTTGTCATCACAGGATCTTCCTCATCATCATCATGATGATGGTCGTCATCAGCATCATCATCACTCTTCTCATCATCATCCTGATGGTCATCACCATCTCTTTCTTGTTCTTATATGCATTTCAAAAGTAACGATAGACAGCATTGGCAATGCAGAGGATGCTACGAGATAATTATCATCACAGTCCTCATCCTTGTCATCATTATCATCACGGTCATCATCATCTCGCATTAGGGAGCACTGGTGATGCAAAGGATGCTGCGATGACAGTTATCATCACAGTCGTGTCAGGATCTTCCTCATCATCATCGTGATGATGGTCGTCACCATCATCATCATCACTCTTCTCATCACCATCCTGATGGTCATCATCATCTCTTTCTTGTTCTAAAATGCATTTCAAAAGTAACGTTAGACAGCATTGGCAATGCAGAGGATGCTACGATGATAATTATCATCACAGCCCTCATCCTGGAGCACTGGTGCTGCAAAGGATGCTACGATGATAGTTCATCAGGATCTTCCTCATCATCATGATGATGATGGTCGTCATCATCATCATCATCACTCTTCTCATCACCATCCTGATGGTCAGCATCATCTCTTTCTTGTTCTTATATGCGTTTCAAAAGTAACGTTAGACAGCATTGGCAATGCAGAGGATGCTACGATGGTAATTATCATCACAGTCCTCATCCTTGTCATCATTATCATCATGGTCATCTCTCATTAGCCGGCACTGGTGATGCCGAGGATGCTACGAAGATAGTTATCATCACAGTCCTCATCCTTATCATCATTGTCATCAAGGTCATCATCATCTCTTATTAGGCAGCACTGGTGATGCAAAGGATGCTACGATGATAGTTATCATCACAGTCATCATCAGGATCTTCCTCATCATCATCATGATGATGGTCATCATCATCATCACTCTTCTCATCCTGATGGTCATCATCATCTCTTTCTTACTTTCTTATATGCATTTCAAAAGTAACGTTAAACAGCATTGGCAATGCAGAGGATGCTACGATGAAAATATCATCACAGTCCTCACCCTTATCCTCACTATCATCATGGTCATCATCATCTCTTGTTAGCCGGCACTGGTGATGCCGAGGATGCTACGATGATAGTTATCATCACGGTCATCAAACCGGTTGAGCCAACGAGCTACATAAACAGGTCCGATCATTTACGCAGGACAACCATGTTTGTAGCATCCAAAAGGAACGTGTTGCTTGTGCTCTGTTAGCGGCTGTGTTTGTTTGAGGGTGCCCTTCTGTTGGGTTGCCTTAAAGGCAAGCCAAAAAGAAGCCAGCCCTCTTTGGAGTACTTAACTGTATGGGGTCGGCGGCACTGGGTGGCAGCCCTTAAATCCGGCCACCGGACGTGATCGGGCCGCAGGCCAAAGCCCGTTAGGGCTTACCTTCAGGTATACCTTCAGGTATAAGGCCGCGCGCCCCATGCCGCCGACCATGCGCAGAACATGCGCAGAACATGCGCAGAACATGCGCATACGTTTTATGCTGGGCCCTCCCTTATAAGGGGCGAAGGATTTGCGGATTGGTTTAGGCGATTTCCGAGGATTTTTGTAGCATCTCCCCGCAGCGCCCAAAACCGAGTCCAAAAACGCGCATTTTTGGGGGTGCCCAATACTGGACAACACCCCCAGCATTGCCAGCATCATCCCGGATGATGCGGATGATGTGATGCATGCTGGCGATGCGGGTGATGCTGGGGATGTTGTCCCCTAAGTCGGGCCAATTTTGCCGAAAACGTGCAACCTGAAAATCTTAAAATCTAAAGTGGATGGAAAATGGATGGAACATGGCCTGGATTGAAATCTCAAAATCCTAAAGTCTTAGATTCTTAAAATCTCAAATTAAAATCTAACAATCAATCTTAGAATCTCAAGATCTTAAAATCTTAGAACTTAGAATCTTAAAATCTGAAAATATAAAAAAAATCCTGAAGTCTTCGAATATTGAAACCTTAAAAACCTTATGTCTTAGAATCGTGAGATCTTAAACTCTTAAAATATGAAATTCCTAAAGTCTTACAATCTTAAAATCTCAGAATCTTAAAAAGCTTTAACAACTTAAATTCTTTAACCCTCGAACAATTGAAATCTGAAAATCTTAAATTATTAAAATATTACCTTCCTTCAATCCGGGCTATATTTTAACTTCCTTAAACTCTTAATCTTGAATTTTTGAAATCTTGAAACCTTAAGATCTTAAAATTACAACCTTAGAAGATAGAATATTGCAACCTGAAAATATAAACATCCTCAAGTCTTCGAATCTTGACTTCTTAAAACCCTCATGTCGTTGAATCTTCAGATGTTAAAATCTTAAAATATGAAATTCCGAAATTCTCAAACTCTTAAAATCTCAGAATCTTAAAAGCTTCAAAAACTTAAATTCTTTAAGCCTCGAGCTATTGCAATCTGAAAATCTTAAATTCATAAACAAGTAAAATATAATAAAATTCCTTCAATCCGGGATTCTAAATTCCTTAAACTCTTAATCTTGAAATTTTGAAGTCTTGACATCTTAAGATCTTAAAATCTTAAATTCCGAAAGTCGCCAAATCTGAAAATCTCGCCAAAAATAAAATCTTAAAGCCTTCGAAATCTGATAATGGATGGAAAATGGCTGGGCAATGGCCTGGCTGTTATAACCTTCAAACACCTTAAGTATTTGAATCTTAAAACCTTAATTCTTAAACCATTGAAGCCTTAAATTCCAAAAGTCTTCAAATCTGAGACCCTTAGAATCTCAAAGTGTTTAGAACTGTTGAATCTTAACATCTACTCATCGGACTTACCGGAAAG